TTACGACGTCCAGCTCTCTTCTTTCTCTTCTTCTTCTTGTTCTTCTTTTTTTAGCATTTTCCATTTTCTTTTAATTCAGCCTAGCCCCCCACCCCAAATTCTGGACCCCCCCCACCCACTGGCTTTCTTTTGTTGCGATGAAGAAGGCGGAAAAGGGAAAATTGTAAATTGAGTTACGCATTCTGACAGTTTGCATTACGATCTCTAGTCAACCCCGTCGCTACACAGAAACCAAAAAAATTGAAACAGAAACTTTAATAAGGCCTCGCAAAAAATATGTTGCATACCTAAAGGCGTTGGGGAAGGGGCTTTTATTACAACCGCGTTCATACGAGCCAACTCTTTCCTAAAAAAGAGTTATGTATTGAAAAACATTAAAATGGTAAAGTTTCCAGTAAAAAAATACATATGATGATTAATTTTATGATATTATATAGTAGTTCTATTAAAGATCCAAAATTATATCCAAATTATAGGTATTATGATGATCAATTTAATAATATTCGGTTTTATTTCATATACATATATCTATAATAGTTCTATTATAGTTCCCAATAAAATGTTAGGTATAATGATGATCCTTTTAAATATTCGGTTTTATGTTCGTATAGATATATCTATAGTAGTTCTGTTATAGTTCCCAATAAAATGGTAGGTATAATGATGATCCATTTAATGATATTCAGTTTTATATTCGTATAGATATATCTATAGTAGTTCTATTATAGTTCCCAATGAAATTATAGGTATAATGATGATCCATTTAGTGATATTCGGTTTTACATTCGCATAGATATGTTTATATCTTGCTATATCAAATGTTAAGATTGCATTTCTAAGATTTATGGGATAGTCAATGGACTTGAGAGGCTCTTCTTCATCTATTGCATTTTAGATACTTATATAGAGGATTTTTCTTGTGTGTAGAACCTGCCACACATCCTTCGGATTTCTACCCAGGTCACACATAATGACCATGTGTGTGTGCATGGGCTATCTATCGATCTACTTTACTCTTCATTGGCATTATTCCAGCTTCGTCGTCGTCATCAATTGAATTCGTTTCATTTCGTTTCGTTTGAATGAATTTCGCTTTGGACTTTTGCTGATGTTTCTAGCCAGGCCGGAACACACATTATGTATATGGTGTGTGCGTGGGTGTGATGGTGTGTGTCCAGCAGAAGGTCCTTTTTTTTTGCTGACATGCTCGAAGGACTTCGCATATTTAAACATATTAAATATCAAAGGACAACCGCCTCGGATCTCAATTTCGCTCACATTTCGCCTGACCATTTTCTTCGGCAAACTGATGCTTTTGCCCAATTAAATTTGCATCATTTGTCATGACAACGGCCGGTTAATGGCGTGTCAGGAGGTGGAAAGTGCTACGAAAGCCTTTTCCGGGAACATTCACCATCTAATCTGAGGAAAGACCAACTAGCAAGTGGTGAGCTTAGACTAAGCGCTTATCTGAAGACAGAGCGTTCAGTGATCCATTGGATATTGCAAGCATTTAAAAATGGAATTGAATCAACTAAACATCATGAGACTATTTAAATTTGTTCTTTTAAGTATAGGTCTGTTTCTAATCTATAGGCTATAGACTTTTCTTATAGATATTGACCATATCAGATTTCAAAATCTTATCTTTTCCATCATTTCCATAATCTATAGGCTATAGACTTTTCTTATAGATATTGACCATATCAGATTTCAAAATCTTATCTTTTCCATGTAGATGATACATGGAAAGATAAGATTTTGAAATCTGATATGGTCAATATCTATAAGAAAAGTCTATAGCCTATAGATTATGGAAATGATGGAAAAGATAAGATTTTGAAATCTGATATGGTCGAATAAATAAATTAATCAATGAAACTCAATTGTTAGTAATATTTTTATGATAAGTAGCTTGTTTTTCTTTGCTGTTCAATTAAAACTTTTATCTCAAGGATAATATATTACAATGATTATGAAGAAACATCTTAAATTTTATTTATGTACAATTTTCAGAAAATACTAAAGAACGTTTTGCATTTTTTATGTGATATTGATTTGAGTTCTGGTAAACTTTGTCATTTGGTCCAAAACCAATAAATCCTGGAGTCCTCTAAACTGCTAGTCGAATACAGATGCCTATGTAAAAATAAATGTAATTTCCCAACGATCTAGTACATAGTATGTTTAAAAAATTAAATTAAATTTTATAGCTTGTGTAATTTGAAGGTTTTTTTAGGATCAACTGAGTCTGATTTTTTCAAGACATGGGCAATACTTTTTCTTAAATTCCCCCCGAAACTCTTCCTCCTTGCAACTTATTTGCTTACACGTGTGCCCCAACTTCGAATGGCCAGCTCCCCAGCCCTTTTCTTTTCGTGAATAAATGGTTTCCCCTATTTTTGTCAAAATTCAATTAAAATTGTTTAACTTGGACGACGACAGAAAAAATAAATACAACAAACTTACATTATATGTATATATATATATACATATATCAAATTGTATAGAAAAATAAAACGAAAGAGTTACAGCAGCGACGTCGACTGCGACGCAGCAGCGCTGCAACAGCGGGCATTTCAAACAAAGGACAACATAACGAGATTAACACACACACACACACACACACCAACACACACACAGGCAGAGAGCCACCCCAAAAAAAGTAAAAATACAAAGCAAAATCAAATAAAAAACACGAAAAAACACAACAAAATAAAAGGAGAAGCGAAAAGCATGTAAAAAAGAGAGCGAACGGGGAGAGGAATTGAGAAAAAATAAAACCCGCTTAAATTAAGCCCACCTACTGGCCACCATCAGAAGCCACCACCCATCTCGGAACCCATCCGAAAGCACCCAAAACCACCCAAAACCACCCAAAACCACCCACCGAAGGAGGCTGAGGAAGCTGGACAGCAAACGCACGAACGGGTTGAAGGGTTCGAACACGTTGATGAGGAAGCAGGGGCGCCGGGAGGGGCGCTGGGAGAGGGGTTGGGGTGCCAGGGGGCAGTTGTCAGGGGGTGCGCCGTTCCGCCCGCCGGCACTTGCCAATTTAAACAGGAAAGAAGGCCATGGGCGAAGGCCACGACTATCAAATACCCGCTAAATATATGCATTTTTATACCCTCAGATCCAGTTTCAAAAAGGGAAAAACTGGTCAAAAATAAGTTTTAATTAAAATTATGGGTATAGGTATCAAGCTGCTCGTTATTTTTGCTGTACGCCTTAACCGCAGGATAAAAGAATAGTTTTGACCAAAATCTCCATCCTATTTTTCAGTTTTTAGGATTCTACAATAGAAAGAAAGGTCAAAATAAGGAGTGTCATACCTCGTTAGACTCGTAGTTTAATTTCCAATCTATTGGCATTCAAATCCGAAAAAATTTTAATTTTGTCAAATTTTCGCAAAAACAGGTGATGTAACCCCTTACAAAAAATGCGAAAATGGGTCAAAAATTAAATATTTCTTAAAGTGATAGGGATCGTTAGCATATCTAAAAAGCTGTTCAAAACAGTCGGTCTTTTTGCTTTACGCCTTAATTTGGCCAAACTACGATTAAAAAACCGCAAGGAAAAAGAGTATTTTTGACTAAAATCTGAATCCCATTTTTCGCCATAAAAAATTAGTTTTTTGGACGTTGTTTTAGAAATAAAGGTCCAAATGGTGAATGCCATACCTCGTTGGACTCGTAGTTTAATTTCCAATACATTGGCATTCAAAACTGGAAATTTTCAATTTTTGCCATTTCTTGCAAAAATTGGTGATGTAACCCCTTACAAAAAATGAGAAAATGGGTCAAAAATTAAATTTTTCTTAAAGTGGTGGGAATCGTTAGCATATTAAGCAAGCTGTTCAAAACAGTCGGTCTTTTTGCTGTACGCCTTGATTTGGCTAAACTACGACTGAAAAACCACTAAAAAATGTCTGTTTTTGACCAAAATATGAATTTTCAAAATAAGTGATGTACCCCCTTATAAAAATTGCGAAAATGGGCCAAAAAATAAATGTTCCTTAAAGTGATAGGGATCGATAGCATTTGTAGCAAGCTGTTCAAAACAGTCGGTCTTTTTGCTGTACGCCTTGATTTGGCTAAACTACGACTGAAAAACCACTAAAAAATGTCTATTTTGGACCAAAATCTGAATTCCCAAAATAACCCTTACAAAAAAAGCGAAAATGGGTAAAAAAATTAATTTTCCTTAAAGTGATAGGGATTGTTAGCATATCTAGCACGCTGCTCAAAACAGTCGGTTTTTTTGCTGTACGCCTTGATTTGGCTGAACTACGATGGAAAAACCACTAAAAAAAGTATTTTTTTCCGAATCCCAAAAAAAGCCGAGCTACCCCCTTACAAAAAATGAAAAATGTTTTCAAAAAATAAATCTTTCTTAAAATGATCATCATTACTTAAATATTTTGCGATTCAAATTTAAGTGTTTCTTATCCAGTTCTCACAATCCTGAAAAAGATGTAGATATTATTGATTGAGTAAAGCTTTACATTTAGATAACTTTACCAAAGTGGCTTCTCAAATTGTTGGCGCTGGCTATAACGCAGACGGCACCAAAAACGAGTTGCCTTTTTCAATAGATCATTTGCCGCCAAATCTTTGTTCTTCCTCTGAAACTTGCGGATGAAATGAATATAGGCTACGGCGGAGCCCAACCGATTTTGGTCGAGAGTCTCTGGACTGGGTTTCTTGATTGATTTGGATGGCTTCCTTTCCTTCTGGTTCCTGGAATCCCTCTCACTGGCATAAGGAGAGCGAACTGGACTGCGTTTCTCCCGCTCAGATTTACCGGGGTTTTCCCCATAGGACTGATTCTCAAACTCCTGAGGAGTACTTTTTATAACGGTCACAGGTTCTATCTAACTCACGTTTGTTAGTAATTGGTATATATTATTAAAAATTAAGATATATCCTACTTACCATATTTTTAAACAGTTCCTTTTCATTGAGGGTCAACTGATTCCACTGCTTGGCTCCGAAACGTACCATGTCATTTGGGGAAACTCCGCAGAACGTCTTTTTGTACTCCATTAAGAAGTTTAGGTAGCCATTGTTTGTGATGCGCGCTCTTTTTTGGAAATTGTAAATTGGTTTTTGAAGTGCCTTTCTACGCTTTGTTCCGTCCATAGTTTATTTTTGTTTAAAACTACAATTTTGCTCTAATACGATACTGTCGATACTGAATAATGAATGCGAGTACTGATTCTGATTGAGAAGCTGTTCTCCCAGCTACCTACGATACTTTTTTAAACCAAAAAAAGGCTTCTGTGAAATTGTTTACTAAGCATCTATGATCCAAACTATTTAGTACCTAGTAGACTCTTACTTTTAACTAACCTGTGAGTTTCGAACATAGTAGGCAGTTGCTTTTAACTTCTAGCTGAAATTTGGACATCAGTTCAATCGTCTTCGCACAGTCAAGTCGTGAACTTCTCTAAAATCATTTTAATAGATATTAGTCAAAGTTCAGCATTTTTTTAAATTTTAATATGATCTCGATAATATTTTTCGTTGCCGTGCACGTCCTGGCGGCCCTTTTTTATCTTTGGATTCAGCCGTCGATCGACGAGTTGCTTGAAGCTATCCGGGAGGACGGCCCCGACGTGGAGGAGCTGGCATGATTGACTAGATCAAGAAAGAATTAGATGAATATATCTAGGAATGACTGGAAGTGAGCCGATTCTTGGAGGCAGCACCCACCCAACCAGATACTTACACCACATATTGTATACTAAGTAAAAATATTACAAAAACTACTATTTAAGGAGGAAAAATAAGTTATATCAGATTTGTTAAAATGTTTTAATTTTAATGCCATGCGCAACGTCATGTTTATGCAAAGTCTACATAGTTTGAAAAATTTTGTCAAAAAATAAATCTTTCTTAAAATGATGGGGATCGATAGCAATTGAAGGAAGCTGCTCAAAACAGTCGGTTTTTTTGCTGTACGCCTTAATTTAGCTAAATTACGAGCGTAAAACCACTAAAAATAGCGTATTTTTGACCAAAATCTGAATCGTCAAAATAGATGACCTACCCCCTTACAAAAAAAGCGAAAATGGGTCGAAAATTAAATTTGTCTTAAAGTGAAGGGGATCGTTAGCATATTTAGCAAGCTGTTCAAAACAGTCGGTCTTTTTGCTGTACGCCTTGATTTGGCCAAACTACATTTTAAAAACCGCAAGGAAAAAGAGTATTTTTGACTAAAATCGGAATCCCATTTTTCGACATAAAAAAAATTTCAAAATGTCAAATATATGTTTCATAAATTTCGCGAAAAAATATACCCTCATAATGTACCTCTAATGGGTATAAAAAGTGCTGAGCAAGAGAAGGGGGTTACGAAGAAACGACCACGCAGCATAAATAAAATGCCTGCCAAGCAAAGGTCCGCAAACACACACACACACACACACACGTATGCAGAGCAACCCTTTCTCTCCATCTTCATCTTCTTATTTTTGCTTGCCCAGTGGGCAGTCAGTGCGTGTCCCATCCCCAAAACCCCCAAAAAACCTCCTAAAATCCACCGAAAACCCCCTGAAACTCACACAAAATGCGGCAAGGAAACTGAAAATTATGTCGACTGAAGCTGCTGCCTCTGCCTCTGCCAACGTCGACGTCGGCGTCGACGCAGAGGTTTTGGGGCAGCGAAGGCTGAAATCCTTCCTTCTACCGATTTTGGTCAGTTTCGTTGCGAGGCCATTAAAATGCGTAAATTTGCAAAGGTTTGCTTGTTCGATTCGACTTGAAAGTGGGAGGACTATTCCAGGGACTTAAAAAAGAGAAATACACAAAAATATATTATGATATATTATATTAGATCATATATCATGATACGATAACGTTTAATCCAGGGGAAGCTTTTCAAATTCCTTTCCTTAACATTCGATGGGTTTGTTTTTATGTACATGTGTGTAAGCTAATCCAGTTAAAAAATCTTACATTTTCTGAATTTATAGAAATTAGAAAATATTTAAAAATCTCAAAATTATTATTTATTCATTTTTTCTTTATCAAGCTCGCTAAAATCTGTGAAAGGCTCATGATCGAGTAGTATCAAGCTCCATCTCTTAGTCTGTATTTAGTGAATTATGTCAATTAAAGTCAATATAATAAATCATAAATGTTTTTAGCCAAAAATATAGGGATTCACTTTTTTGATTGGTTTATTAAAGTATCTAAAATTGAGGCAGATGACCAAAAAGTTAGCTAGAAAATAATTCTAAAGTAAAACCAATAATAAAACTTACCTTTTACAAAAATCGTACCACTTTTTTTAAGGAACTTTCTGTATTATCCCCCATTCCATTCACGAATAAATAGTTATTTGCTTTAATTCAAATTTTTCTTAGGCATTTCTCGCATTTATTTTTCATAGTTTTCGTAACACGTTTCGTTCGCACAGTTTTGTGTTTTTTGTTCTTTTTCGTTTTTAATATGTTTTGAATGTTTCTATCAAAATTACAAAAAATTCCATTTGATTCGGAATATAAGGTATATATAGTAATATATCTTTATATATCAAATGTGTTTTTATTTGTGGAAAAAATGGTATCAAATGGCAACATTGTTCACTATATAATAGCCCTGCAAAGAATTTCTTGTGTTTATTTATTAAATTGAATTTTTCTTTGATTTCTTTAGTTAGATGCTGTAGTTTTGCGTTGCTGTATTTGTAAATTTGTAGTTAATGCATATGAATGATGTCTGAATGTGTCGGCGATAATGTAATAAACTTACTTATTTTGTTCTCCTCCAGTTGTAGTCTTTTCATTTAGTTGTAGCTTGGGCTTTAATATGAGTTTTCCTTACTTTATATAATTAGGATTCTGTTTTGTGTTTGATTTCTTGTTCTTTTAGTTGAACCTTGATTTATTTCACTTCGTTACTTAATTGTTTATACATTTAAATTGAAGTATTTAAGCAAACAAACAGAAACAAAAAAATATATAAATTATATATAAGATGGCAAACAAAATATCTTTAAAATGCTTTCTGTAGTTAAAGCATCGAGTAGGTTTCTAGATTTTACTTTCTTTTGCGTCGCATTACATATGTATATATGCCTGTCATTAATATATAAATTTATTTAGCATTTATTTTACTTTTCATTTTATCTTGGACTTAATGACTAGGTTTATTTAAATTTTATTACATTCATTTAGCAAAAAATGTTGCAGGTTTTCCATTCTCTGTTTTGTTTTTGCTTTGACACGACGACGGCGCCTATGGCACATCCTTGTGTTCCTATCATATATATATATCAATATATATATATAGCGTATAGTGTCTAAAAAATATGTTCATATAAATTCAAGCTTTAAAAAATTGGCATTTCCTTTATTTAAGTATGTTTATATCTAGATCTATATGCATAATACCCTTTAGTTTTGTATACGTAGGAAAGTAAAATTTAAATTTACCATAATAAACCCAATGCTAGTTTCTTGTATTCAAAACCAAAACGTTCATATATTATTTATATAATGATGTGTGACACAGAATGGGAAACAAAAGCAAGCATTATGTGGCTGATGCGGGATCTTTGGGGATTGGGGATTGAACACTTTTAGGATGGCTGGAGAGAGAAGGCAAAGTTTTAGTCAATTGAATTGATCACTATTTGATCGCAGTACACATTCCGATTTATATGTAACAAGACTTCATACATAATTATATAGCTTTGCCTTTTTACAATGTGTATTGGGATCTTAATAGTCAACGTTTCACATACATTTTAACTGAAATTATTGGAGTACCGGACACGCATATGCATTTATAATTATGTTATATATATTTATATATGGCTGTCTCTGGCTGTACACAAACATACATACAAAACAAATGGCAAACAAGTTACTACACAAAAACAATTACAGAAATGAGCAATTATATAATCGAAAATTGGAAACCGATCAATGGTATTAAATCGTCCATTTAAAGATTGCAAGATATATATTGATCGATTATAGAGAATCGAAAGCTATTCTGTATTTTTCTTTGTTTTGCCTAGTACACAGCAGGGGAAAACAAATCCCCAACGTTTTAAGCTTTACTGAACTTATTTAATACCTGCATGCATAGAAAAATTGAACCTATAGGAACGCTTAAAAAATTACATGTTGAGAAACAAAATTCGTAAACGAAAAGTACCAAAAGATTAATTTATATATTATTACAATTACAATTACATATTTGATTTGTGTACAGAATTCATTCCATTTTCTCTTATTGCCTTCAATTTAAATAGTTTGATTTGCACATACAAATTGCATTTTATGGCTGATCTGTCTGATTTATCTGTGGTTGGAGATAAGTACAAAGAGAAAGATAAATTTAACACTATTGAGGAACTTGACAAATCTTTTGAAAACTAAGCACTTGGTTATTTAAACTGAACAATCAAAGTGGAATACAATTTTTAGATAAATATAATATCGCTTTAAACAGCAAATTATTTGGATATATCAACACATATATGTATGCATTAATATATATATATATATATTAGGTGTATATGCAGGGCTTCCCCTATTTAGGTTTATATGCTTTATAAGGCATTTCCTTTGCTAGCGCAGCGCATTTCATGCGCTTACAAAACGTTCACTCTACCGTTACAAAGATTATCGCAAAAAAAATATATAAAATCAATACTAAGAGCAACTAAACAGTTAAAAAGTGCATGTATATATAAAAACATTGTACACTTATCTAACGCTAATTTAGTGTTTTTTAAATAATGCACTATTGCTTTAAAATGCATTTTTTTCTTTCTTTTTACAAACTAAAATTTAGCTTAAATATTTTTACTAATGCAGAATTCCTTTTTTTTGCCTTTTGCTTTTTGTTTTTTCGATTTTCGAAATGAATTAAAATGTAGGTGAAGAATCAAACCATATCAAAAGTGTTAACAAAAACTGTTATCTGATAGTTATGAAGCTAATTTTATAATTGCACGATAAAATGCGTGTACGACATTTTGGTTAAAAAACCAATAAAATTCTAAGAATAAAAAATATGTATTTATAAACAATATTTTATTTAATACAACAAAAAAAGAAAACGATTTGTATTAAGCGACAAATTTAAACTCATGCCAACAACTAAAAATATAATTTAATTTAAATTGTTGACACTTTTGACGTGGTTTCACTCTAAACTCTAACCTAAAAGGAAATTCTACAGTTTGATTCTCTGTTATGTGTAATACTTTTGTAAGAGAAGTGGGCGTGGCCATAGCATATTCTTAGAAAATATATATAGTCATACGCATGTATGATTTAATTAGTGGTTTTTCCATCTCGCTCTGTTGTTCGCCTAGACTTAAATAGGAATTTGTAAGATTCTTGTTTTTGCTTTCTTGTAGACAAGTAAATATTGTTCGCTCCGCCATGAAACTACTTCCTTTCGAGACTAAGGATCCAAGTGTGTGAGCGGATTCACCTGAAAAGTAAGGAAATTAGTTTTGGATTGCAAAATATTGAAATTCAAGGGGAGACATTAAAGTGGATTGTCGTAATCCACCTGCATGCTGGTTCTCCCGCTTCACTTACTCTTTTCAGTTGATGATCCCTACACCCGGTTGGTCAGGTGCGTCTTGTCGCTCCGCTTTGGAGGCGGGGGCGGCGGGCGCTTCTTGGCTGCCACGGCGTTGCCAGGCGGCGGTGGCAGCGGAGGTGTGCCAGCATCTCCGCCAGCTCCTCCTCCGCCCGCCCTCGCCTGGGCGTGCACGTTCTCGTAGAGCGCATTGTGTGCGTACTCGTAGTGCTCCTGCACCCAGTGGCTCACGTTGGCCGTCTCGCGGTAATAGTGCGAGGAGTTAGCCCCCGAGTTGAGGTTGTGGGCGGCCAGCAGATCCTCGTTGCTAAAGTCCCGGAAGCCCAGGACCTCGTGCGGCGTTGTGGCCGGCTCCGCCTTGCACTTCTGCGCCACCTGCCACTTCTTGCGCATGACGCGCTGCAGATCCTTGAGGAAGTCGCGGGGTGGATTCGAGGCGGACTCCTGCAGTCGCTTTGGCGAGGTTACCTCACTTCCGCTGCCGTTGCTCTGGCTGGATAGGCGCGCCAGATCGGAGCGTGGCGGCAACATCGGGCCGGGTGCGTAGGTCTGGTAGGCCGATCCCGCGCTGGAGTTGGAATGGCAACTGAGCGTGGTGCTTGGCGATCGCTGTGGCAGCACCGGCTCCGGGGAGCACATCTTGCGACGCAGCAGCACCGGCGAGTCGGCAAACGAGACTTTCTTCTGGGCGGGTGGCGGCGGCGGCAACGGCGGTCCGGCCAGCTGGGCAGGGCCCACATAATCCGGCGGCGCTTTGTATGGTGGCGCTGCCTTAAGAGCGCCAGGCGACTGCTTCACTGCCGGCTTGATGGGTTTGGCCGGCACCGCCGGCGGCAACGATCCATTGCTGTTCGGCATCATGATCATCGGATTGCTGTTCATTGGTGTGGGAGTAGCTGGACTGGGAGGTCCTGCATAGGTCATGGCCAGCACATCCTCGGGCGGCGGCGGTGGTGGCAGAGACGCCAGCGATAGCTGCGACCCGTACACATCCTGGTCTTCAGAACCATCCAAAGCGGGTGGCGGAGGCGGAGGCGGCAGCGAGTCCAACGAAAGCGTGGACGAGCACATCAGCGAGGCAGCATCGCCCGGCGGTGGCTTAGCGCAGATGCTGGGCGTTGGCGTGGGCGTGGAATTGCTGCTGGACGAAGTGGAGGAGGCACTGCCCATTGGCTCCACCTGTTTGACCACCGTGCTTACGGGCACGGGAATGGGGCGCCGCTTGAGTGTGCCGCTGCCGTTGCTCTCCTGCGACTTGCGTCGACTGTGGCGGCGCGTTAGAGTACCGCTTCGCTCGGGGGAACTGGCATCGCCGCCGGCACTCTCGCAGATGGTGATCTCGCCCACCTCCTTCAGCTGGCGTGTCATCGTGGTCAGCGGCAGATTGGGCTTCATCGAGGGCTTGCGCTTGATGGTGCCCGTGGTGAACTCCGAGTCAAAGCCGTTGTTGTCGTCCGAGAGGCAGCCGCTGGAGCTGCTACTGGAGGCACGTGATGTGCGGCCGCTGGTCGAGTTGGACATGCTACTGATGGCCGAGGAAACGCTGCCGCACTGCGACGGCACCGCCGACGAGATGCTCGAGATCGACTCGCTGCGCATGGAGACGGCAAAGCTCGACTGCGAAACGGCATCGTCGCGGCTCAGGCTGAGATCCTCGAGCAGTGATTTGTGACTGTCCCACAGCTGTTTGCCGTACTTGCACACTCGGATGGCCGTCAGCCAGCGATCCAATGTCGGCAGATCCTCGGCGCAGAGCATCTTGAGGGAGCGACACGACTTGCTCAGCGAGGAGTCAGCCACCGCCTTAAAGCCAAAGGTGTAGTCAGTCGGCGACTTCCACTTCTTGCGCCAGCCCAACCCGGTGTACACATTGTGGCCATGGAACAGATTCAGGCAGGCCAGGTCGCGCGTGTTCTTGGTCTTCTCCTTGGGGAAGTAGTACAGGCCCGAGGAGCGCAGCACGAAGTGATACCGTTTCCAGCCCTTCTTAGGGTCCGCCTTCATGTAAAGCGGTCCGTCCAGCTGCAGCTGGTTGTGCGAATCGAAGAACTCGTCGAGCAGCATCTGCCGCGTCTGCTCGTCGTGCTGGCACCCAGGTGTCATCTGAGGACCGGGTAGATAGAGCTCCGGGCGTAAGAACAGCGCCACCTTGTCCTGTCGCTGCTGAAAGAGCACGCGATTGCCGGCATCCGAGTTCCACGTCATTAGGTTGTCCACCAGCAGCTCGTGATCCTCAAAGAGGCGTTCTGTGGGTAGAGGGAAAAGAAAGGATTAGCAAATAATTTCTCTTATTTAGTTTTGAAATAACTAACCCATCTGGAGATCGCCTAGGTGCTCCACTAGCGCCCAATTGGACTGCATTAGGACGTGATTTTTGTCGGCCAGCAGGCGTGTCACATGACCACAGACCATGCGTTCATCCACTAACAGTGACTTGGAGGCGCCGTCGGAGGTGAAGGCCTTGACAAACAGCCGCCGGATGGAGGCACTTTCGAGCTTGTGCAGCGCCAGCTGGATCTTGGCCGCCTTCGAGATGCTGTTGGCGCCACTCTGCTGACCACCATGCTGGCCATGACCATGGCCATGTCCGCCATGGACGAGCTTCTCGGAACTGGCCAGCTGTTGCTTCTGCTGCTGATGCTGCTGCTGGTGCAATTGCTGCTGCTGTTGTTGTTGTTGCAGGGATGTGTTCGAGGAGGCCGACGACTCGCTGGACAGCAGCGATACGGTATCGCTAAAGGCGGAATCATTGTCGGGCGACTCAGTGCGCGGCTCCCGGGGCGTGACAACGCCCAGCGTTATGCCCATGGTCATGCCAACCGGTGGCGGTGGATGAACTATCATTCCGGCTGGCACTGGTCCACCAACGAGTCCCAGTCCCATTCCAAGACCATGTCCATTCTCCGAGATCCCGGACGATGAGCAGCTGCTCACGTCCGCTGAGATGCTGCTGTTGGTGCGCGAATGGGAGCGCGACGAGGCAGCCGACATGGAGACCATGGATGGGGCATTGCTGGGCAGCTGGGCGGGCACTCCGGGTGGCGGTGCTACCTGAGCACCTGCCATTGGAGCACCACATATGCCGGGCAGCAGGGACGCCTCACCATAGCTGATTTGAGCCTCGAGCAGACTCAGCTCGCCCAGGATCTGGTCCAGCTCCGACTCCTGCGAGTCCTCCAGGTTAGCCATGGAGATGCGGTATGTGTGGGAGAGCTGCTTGGCCTCCGGCGTCAGGGGACGATCGCTGTGCCTGCGCAGCTTGACGCCAGCGCCAGCACCGGCGCCGATCACAGGGCAATCTCCACCAGCCACGAAGCCAGCGGCGGTCGTCGTCGTCGTCGTCGACGTTGTCGGCGCACCACCAGCCGCTGCTCCTGCTCCTGCTCCACCTCCTGCTCCGGCTACTCCTCCGCCGCTGGCAGCTCCGCCCACCAAGATGCCCCTAAGGTTGATCTGGAATGGAGGAGAACAACATGGTGGGATTAGCATAACTTGACTGAGGTAAAAAATGCGTTCATTATATTAAAATACAATGTTCAGGTATAGTTCTTATCCTTGAGCATTTATAGGAGATTTTAGAGTATAATCTTTATCTGGGTAAACCAATTTGCGATCTCGGTTTACAAAAATTAGTACAATAAAACACCTAATTTTAAGATTATACTGAAAAATAATAGATCCAAGGATTTCCATATTTATATTGAAACTTCTTAATATATTTATAGCATTATAAGGCAGTACTCCGCATTTTAAGAACATTTTTGTAGGTAATAGATTCTAGACTTTCTCTATTTAAATCAAATCTTCTAAATATCGATAACATTATTTCAGAAATCGAATCAAACTGTTTGAAACACTTTTCCGTTTGTTCCTATGTGTCCATGTTTTTTTAATGACTCAAATTTATCAGTTTCGACACAGAAATATTTGTTCAAAGTGAAATTGAAACGAATTTAGTATGTTAAACATTTCTGGACCGTTTCTCTGTGAATCGAAGACTCCATAGCTCGAATTTAAAATGCGGCAGATGATAATTGTAGTTGGGGAACTTTGGCTTTATAACGAGACCCAGAAATGTTTAAGTATTATCAGTTGGGTTCCCCATCGCGTTTGCTATTGTTGCCGTTTGTTCGAAACGTGCCCCAGTGGAGCGTCCGCTGCCGAACGACGATTTTACGATTAGCGATTGGCGATTGGCGATTGTCGGTTGCCAATGCAGCTGGGCCAACCGTTTCCGACCGCTCTTACCCCCTTACCCCTTTGGACCCCTTTTTCTGGGCGACAGCTTCGCTTCAAACACGTTACACATTTTTAGTTTGGACGGCAGCCCCTTTCCGCCAGCACCAACACCAATCGCACATAAAGAAAAATTGATATCAATTTAATGATTTTATACCACATTTCTGAGCAGATTACCCCGAAACGATTGTTATTCGATATGGCATTAAGGTAGTGATAATGGTTTTGATTGGAATATCATAAAAAGATATAATTATTTATCTACGAAAATTTTTTTTTAAATCACAGGCATGCAGTGGGAATTGAACTTGGGCAAAACATATGTAGGATAATATAATATTTAAATATATGAAAAAAAAAATTTTTTTTATAAATAGGGATTCAAATTTTAAATATCAAACCCTGGACATAAGTAACATATATTTGATAAATCGATATCAATATGAAATGAGAGCAATAGCAAAACAATTTTTTTGTAATGTACCAAAAATTACAAAAATTCCTTTAGCAGCAGTGGGATTCGAACCTAGCCCTCTCTAGCCTAGATAAACACTTCAGTCTTTTACAGTATAATTTTTTCCCTATCCAATGCAATTATGTAGTTAATATCGGGCTATTATTTTTTTTGCTGTGCACATTTGCTAATACTGCTGTCGCTTGGCAATCAAAAGCTGAGCCGCCGACTTCCCCGCCGTCCAGCACTTTTGGCGTTTCTCCAGCAGCAGCAGCCGTCGACATTGCCGATTGTTGAGCACTGTTTTTATCGCCGGTTACAGCTTCTGATGTTTCTCTGGCCGCCGTACTATTGCCCCGATATAATGCAGTTGGAACTGCTCGACGACTGGCTGCCTGAGTGGCGAGTGTTAAGTAATAAACCAAGGCATAAGTCACGTATTAAAGCGACAAAGAACATGGGAGGGGGGGGTCGTTAACTGGTTGGGGGCAAAGGCAAAAACAATCACAATGACTGGCAATTGGCCAAGAGAAAGGGGAAGAGAAAGACGGAAGAGATAGGATGGATCTGTAGAGAACAGAGGGTTTTATTAGATCACACAGAACAAAAAACTTTTTCGACCTTTAGTCTTTGAAAGCTTTGATTTCACGCATGTACTGCATCTTTGAATGTATTTTTTTTATTTTTAACCAAACTATAACTTTTATACACCGTATTTTAATACAATAATTGAACTGCTGTTAAAACACTTTGTTATTACCCTGGAAATTTGGCTCATTTCAGTTTTTAAGTAAGACTTCACATCCAATCCTATTGCATACTATCCGAGGTATGTAACTCTGGGAAAATGTGACATCGCTGACAACTGCCCACGTCTTACTGGTCATTTCGGTTACTTTCTGGTGATGGAGTTGCCTTTTTTATGGCCTTTTCAACGGTCGACTGAATGAGTCATTGCGTGGCTCGAAAAGGTTTTTGTTTTTTTTTGTTTTTACTTTACTTTTTAGGTAATTGGCACTTTACCCAACTGAACTCCACCCGGGACTTGCGATGATGATCTGCCATCAGTGTCAGCTGTTCAACGCACCGAGAAGGGCAGCGGATAATGGTGGTGATGCGATGGTGTGGATGTGGATGTGGATGATATGGGGGAAGGTTGAAACGAGGTTAGAGAGCTGGTTCCATTCAACAATGCACATGTCGCCCCGCTTGGTTAGCGTTGATTTATGGACAGAAATGTACATAAATACGGGAAACGGAGTACGGCATACAGAATATATATGGACAGCGGCGGCGGCATCTAATAACCTCCACGATTGCCCTTTTCCCCAAAACCCTCAATCGGTTGTCCACAAAGTTCAATGACAGCCGCAACAACAAATCCTCAATTGAGAAACCCACGGGGAAATGGACAGGGGGGTTCAGAACAGACCCCACACACAGAATCCCATTCTACCGGCCATTTGTTGCTGTTAGTTTACGGCTCTTGTTTGCATATTTGCATAGGTCGGTCCACTACTGCACTCCCATTCTCAGTTCGACGACACAGGAAAAAAATCTATCACCAAAATATATTTCACTTGGGGGGAATACTTCTATATAGCAAGAAAATCTATAAAGTAAATATACACATGTCTGATTTTCAAGAGCTTTTATTGCTGACTTATCCAGTGAACGAAACCTGTTTTTATCTAATCAAAGCCAAAACCCATTGGGAATTATAGCGTGACAGAGGAGAAAAACCATCAAAGTATAATATAAAATAATACAGCCATTAATCAATTTTAATTCATATGTTGCAACCGGAATATGGAAAATAAAATGAATACAAGGCTTTAAGATCACTTTCATTTGATATTGTATTCCCGATTTTTTTCTGAGCACTGTCATTAGTTTTGCAAAGTATGGGTCCCCACACAGCCAAGTATCAACAGACCAAACGCAAATAGAAAAAGGTGAACGCGATAGTAGGTTAGTTATGAATTTAGTTTAGCTACAAGAAAGGTAAGCAGCAAACCTCTAAACCCATACCAAACTCTCATCTTTGCAAAAATCTTGTATCTACACTCAACGATATTAAAAGTATATTTTAATCTATATTTTATATTGCTGCTTATATAAGAATTACGTTAGTTTGCCAACAGTTGTTCAGGTAATCTGAATCTGAGTCTTAAGTGACCTTATTTTTAATGACATACCTTTTTAAAGGTGTATATTTACATAAGTTAATATTTCTCATTAGCTTTAAAACGTTTACTTTCAATAAATGCATGTCTCCATTTTCATAAACAACTGCATTTGGTTATTTAAGAGCCGGTAAAACTAGACCGAGTTATTTCAACAGCTTCCTGTTTCTAGCTTTAAAAGGGAATTTCCCCCACACTACGTTTTTTTTCCTTATAAACAAAATTTGACACATGATAAACTTCAATGTTATCGCTGACTTATACTTTTCGAAGTTTATTCGCTGTTTTTTCTTTGTTACTGGCAATAAAATCGCCTTGTTTTTAAGATGTCTGTGTTTAAAAGTGTTTTAAATTACAATCGTCAAGTGTGAAATGAAATAAACCACTGTCCGCTCTGTTTTTTTTCCCCTGGAACCCTACGTTTCGGTCGCAGTTGATCTGTAAATAAGTTTTTCAGCTGCAGTTCAATGTTCCTAGTGGATCGGTTTTCTGTTGTTCACCTTGGGAGAAGCATGGGTCCAGATCAATGCTACCAATATAGAGGCATGAGTTCCATGATAAACCAATTATAACCTTAGCGGATCCGATAATTGTATGGGCAACCAACTGAGAGCTAAAGCGCAGCTATTAAGTCCGAATCGAGGCGAGGTTGGGGTTGTTACTTACTTTTACCCACTTACTTTTGGTATTAAATGGGTGACCTACCTTACCATTATAAGGGTCATATCTAACCAACTCTAACTAACAAGTGGTCAAACACTGCAATGCTCACCACTCATGACCTACTCAACCCAAGTCGCATGTTCTGGGCTCATTCCACTCCCTGGGGAGTTTTTTTTTTTGCCTCCAAAGTAATTACTTTTGCACTACAATAATATTTTCAGTAATTAACTAAAAGCGAGAGTCCCCCTTCTCCACTGACGTCAGTCAGTCAGGGGAAAAAAAAACAAAACACAACATGGGTGGGGAGACCTCTTTGTTCAAGGCCCAAACGCATTATGAATATTCTCATGTTTGTGGACATTTACAGCAACTTCCGCAGTCGATTAATAAAAACAACAAACAGCGTTGCCAAAAAACAAAAACAAAAAAACATAAAAAGAGCAGCGCAAACAAAAAACAAGAGTGGACAAAAGCAACAATGGCAGGCAAACAAAAAATAAATTAATACATTAAATTTAACTTTTAATGGGCCCCATTCACACACACCGAAAACACCCGGGAGTCATGGCAGGGCCTTATAGAGCAGGCGTTTCGCTCCTTTGGCGAAATTGTCGCTCATAAAACGAAAACCTCGAATATGGTGTATATATATATATATAATATGTATATGGAATACTGGAATTTATAATGCGAGTGCCTGAATTTGCGCCACCATTTCGACTGATGACCATCATCACCATCAAGAAAGCAACAGAGTTGCGTTCCAACTCGGTTTTAGTTGGGTTCAGTTGAGTTGAGTTGACTCCACTACACTCTACTTAACTTTACGTCGTTCGTTTCGGTTTGACTTTGGGCTTGGTTCGTTAAGCAGCCTAATTGGAGGACCCCCCTTCAGTTGTCCACAAAGAGAA